TATAACAAATGTAACAATATTAGAAAACATAACAAGAATACTTAGCTATAGATGTCAAGGTCCCCATGTCTTTTACAGCATGGCAGATGAATGAACCAGGCGCGTGCGTTTGAGCAGTCTTGGGATGGAACAACTATTACAAGTTTTAGCTGTAGTATATACTTTACTAGTGGGTAGCAAATACCAATTACAAAACTCTAAATAGCAGTATTACCTTTTACTGACCATCCTGGTCAGTTTGTAATGGCATTCCTACAGCATTAAGTTAGTTAAGGTAAAGCAATACTTATGTCCTTATATGAACCCTTAAACAGGTTTAAAATTCACATTAATAAGGAATTATATTTCCCCATGAAGCATGGAGGAGCAGAAACCATAGGGAGGAGCGGAGGATTGGGTAAGTATATATATGTTTTATTGTTCCCTTAAACATACAGTAAACAAGCAATTAACCCTTGCAGTGGGATAATTTTATATTTGCCCAGAGTTGGGCTTTAATGGAAAGAACAAATATTTCGTTTTTTGCCTTCACTGCATACAGATTTTAATACCTATTAATCAATGTTTTAAATTATATGCTTGATTTTGTAATCCAATAATATGCCCCAAACATACACTGAGAAGTCCCTCTTTCTCCTTCAGAGTAATTGCAGCTATAGTAACAAGTGGCACTGCACTGGGAAGAGCTTCCTCCTTCACTCCGGATTATGCCAAGGCGAAAACTGCTGCTGCTCAGTTCTTCAAGTTTTTGGATCGTGTTCCCAAGACCAGCGTTTACAGCACAGATGGGGATAAATGGGTGAGACAGCTGATAAAATACCTCTTCTGTTTCATAGTACTGCCTGAATGCAGAATACATTTGGATCTGTAAACACAGAGGGATACGTGATTAGCCCTCTTTTGGGCTACAAGCATCTGCTGTTAATAACACAATGCTGTTCAGTCCCCTAAATACTTCCTATATTATCAAGATGGGCCCCTTCCATTCTAACTGGCTGCCATTTTCACTTCTGCTTTAGGGTAGGTTCTATGTGAAGCAGAGGCATTGATTGGCTACCTCTGTCTAAGCAGCCAATCAGTCCCTCAATCTCACATGAAACCTGAGATTCTTCATGACTGCCATTTTAATTGCAGCAAGAAACAGGATTGGAGCGGTAATTTTTTCTTGATATCCACTTCAATTATTAGTCTTTTAAAACCCAAATTAACAAAACCCAAATTTCAAGCTTTGCTCTAGATCTCTTTAGGTGTGACAGGACATTTCATTGCAATGTAGGATTGTCTACCTGCCTTGAACTGGTCACATGTGTTGCAATCTGATTTTACAGTCTCTGCACACTCTTCTTTAGATTTACCAGCAATTGTGTAGTTCGTAGGCCTACCTAAACATAACATTTAATTTATATCCAATTAGTTATGCTGTAGCTATGGCTAAATCTAAAGAAAATTGAGCAATCACATTGTAAAGTGCGTTGGCAGACTACAACTGAAAAAATAGTAACAAGATAGGTTTCATGCTGTGAACTGCAAAGGTGTAAGATCTGGATTACTGCAAAGATAAAGGCAATCAGTAGATACTTCAACCAAATGGCTTTGACCCAGTACTAAGAAAACAGTTTAGGCAAGAAGTGCCATATAATGGTAATTTGGTGATGTTTCATTTCCAAATGTAAATCTCTGCAGCAGTCGGTTCTGAAAATATATATCCTTCTGTCAAATTGATCTTTCTAACACAGATCATCGTTTTATGCACAGATGTTACCAAAGAGCCTCTACACTGTAATGTCTTGAACAAACTATAAAAAGACGGACTATTATCGCCCATAAATATGCACATTTAGACTCTGAATTCTCCATTGACTCATAGATGGCAAATGTAATTGCTCACAGTGGTATAGAATGACTGACTATACAATGCCACTTATAGAACTCTTTATTTCTAAAAACCTCAAGTGACTTCCACCTGGAAGAGATAAAACATGTTGTTATGAAGAAATTTTAATTGCTCAGTCATTTAATTATTGTAGAACATCTGACAACATACAATGAACTTCATCAGAGAACAATAAAACTTCAGACAAATATGTAGACAGGCGGACTCTTTCAGCTGTTAGCATAACATAAAATGCAATAGAAAAACTTTAACAACTAACTTTATTTTTTTAAATCAGCACAATAGTGGATAGTGGCCCTTTTGCTGGTGGCTGCTATTTTAATGGAAAATTTCAATCCTCTGCTCTCCGCCCCCATACCCCTACATTTATCGGTGCTGAAGAGTTAATACAGCTGTTGGACCTATCAAAAGAGAAAAGAGGGTATAACTGAAAGCCCCGGCCGCACATCCCCAGAAATAGAATTGTAAAAAGCACGGAGAGGGTAAAGGAGACTTTGAAGGTTCTAGTAAATCCAACCTCAGGATAAAATACACAATACATCCATAAAATCACAATTTTATACCAAATCATATTCTGTTTGATGCTTGCACTGACTCAATTGACAATACATTTTTTGATGGCTAAATGAATACATAACTGCAATAACCAGTTTCATTTTAGTTGTGATTTTCTTTTTAACATGTAGTATAGGTACCATAGGTTATTGCAGTTATGTAAAGGTACCATAGGTACCTTTGTATCTTCCTGTAATTCTCTACACAAACAGGAGTTTAATAGAAATATAAATAATTACGTGAGACAACCAGACTGCAATATACAGTTCTACAAATCTAACCCTAGGAGCTTGCTGACACGAGGATAGTAAGCAGAGAGATCAATTCATCGGTAAGATGTTGCTCTTTCTTTGTCCAATCACCATGCTGGGGTAGAACTGATGCACTTTCACTATCTAAACACCAAGCTGAAGGACAGCAGAAGACAAAGCATTTTTTAATAACTGGAGTGGAGGAAAGTGAGATCTGGGCATGCTATCCAGCAGCAACATTTGTTGGGAAAGACCTGAATCTCAAGATCTTACCCTGGTTACAGCATTAAAGAAAAGGAGAAATTGCAGAAAAGAAATATACAAAAATCAGATTCGTGACTGCAGATTGCTGTCTGTTTATGGCATGTTAGTAAGGGAACAATTTATCTTTTTTCTGCTTTTAGTCTATCATTAGGTTGTTTACAATTTAGCTCAGAAAGTCCCCAGGGAAGGGGAAATTCTTTGTAAGCTAACTGCTAATGGTTGCTCTGTTCAGTTTGTCATTCAGTGAAGGAGAAGTAAAAGTACAATAAAAAAAAAAAATTCTAAAATTTGTTGTCCCAGTACTAAGCAAGCTCAGCATGAATAATGTACATTTTTATTGGTTTCCCACGAGCTTAGAGTCACTTGGTACCAAAAGCCCCATTTTCCTGGTAAAGGACATCTGACAACATGTGACCTATATATTATTTGGTCTCTCTGTAAAAGCTTTTGGCTGTAGTTTTCCTGCAGTGAGTAGCTAGAGACACTTGGTTACATTGTAACAAACTGTCTATATTCCATTCCATTGGGCTATTACTTACAGTAAGCAGCTTTTCCTGTGTAGTCGTTGGCCATATAACTGGTTGCCATCATCAGGAGAAATAGGGACATATCTTATAAGCTTATTTATTACATTATCGCTTGGCAGCATAGCCTAAGGAATAACCGAACCAGAAGAAGCTCTATATTAAATAGATGTTCCTAGCAGAGAGTTTCTGCTTAGGACCACCAAAGGTTTTGTGCCTACAATATCCAGTGATGGAAATCTAACCATGGTTGTAACACACTGAACTATTGTTATTCAACCTGATGAAGAATTTATACAGTACTTTAGTTTTGTGACACAGCCAGACGTTTGACATATACTGCATAAACAGGGTTTGTTAAAAAAAATTCCTTAGCCTGCTGATTGGACAGTAAAGGAGCAGCAGCACACTGACGAGTCATCACTCTACTCATTCAGCTATTCCCTCCTGTCAATATGTTTACTGTAACCATTTGTGCACTGCAGCAGGTCACTCCTTCTTCTCCCGTGCATGTGCATATAGAAGACTGGTGTTAAGACCAATTCAATTATTATTATTTTATTATTATTATACAGGATTTATATAGCGCCAACAAAATTACCTCCACTAGCTGTATTCAGGAATACTGTGGGGGGATTTACTAAAACTGGAGAGTGCAAAATCTGGTGCAGCTCTGTATAGAAACCAATCAGCTTCCAGGTTTTATTGTCAAAGCTTAATTGAACAAGCTAAAGTTAGAAGATTGGCTACCATACACAGCTGCACCAGATTCTGAGTGCTCCAGTTTTCAAAAATCTCCCCCATTACCTTTTGAATTTAAATTTTTTTTATTTTTAGCATCATTCTGCTTTAATTACAAAAAATAGCCAGTTTAAATTAGACTGTGCAATCAGTTCCCTGTTCTCTGCAACGTCCTTCACCCACTCACTGCCAAATGTCAAACCTTGACCAGCAAATTGGCAAAGAAAAGAAAGAGATTTTGTGTGGCCGTACTTACCCTGCAGTCCTACATCTACCTTTACAATTATGCATGATGTTTGAGAAAAGTTTTGGTTTTAGATATTTTATTAATATATATTTTTTCTAATTTTCCTGAATATCTCTATGTGGATTTGTGTATGATTTGTAGTGAATTACATAATCTAGGAAGCCAAGCAATCATGGTTCATGAATTATTTGACGCTCTGTAGATTAGGTAAATATGTATGCGCAGTTTCAGGCATAAAAAATTCACTATCACTATGTGTGACAATCAGATGATGAGCCATCCTACTTTACGTTCATGTTGTTATTATAGTGCCTCAAAAGGTGCAAGAAAAAAAAAAACCAGTTTGCCAGCATTTTAGAACAGTAGTATTTTTTAATAACTATTATGCTGCAAGTAATCATGACAATTACCATTTATGAACATAAAAAATTAACTTAAGTTTTATTCAAACAACACAGGACAATTTCCGTGGTGACATTGAGTTTGTGGGCTGCAAATTCACATACCCCAGTCGTCCAGTCACCATGGTCCTGAGGGGTCTTTCAGTCGGAGTAAAGTCTGGACAGACTCTTGCATTTGTAGGAAGCAGTGGATGTGGAAAAAGTACGAGTGTCCAGTTATTGGAGAGGTTCTATGATCCAGATGAAGGGAAAGTGGTAGGTATATTGCATATCCTTTACATTCTATACATTGCCTAATACTGTTTATTGTAATATTATATACACTCACCGGCCACTTTGTTATGTACACCTTGCTAATACCGGGTTGGACACCCTTTTGCCTTCCGAACTGTCTTAATTCTTCGTGGCATAGATTCAACAAGGTGTTGGAAACATTCCTCGGAAATTTTGGTCCATACTGACATGATAGCATCAGACAGTTGCTGAAGATTTGTTGGCTGTACATCCATGAACCGTTGATACAAGGCAGGATGGATCCATGCTTTCACGTTGTTTACACCAAATTATGACCCCACCATCTGAATGTTGCAGCTTATTTTGAGACTCATCAGACCAGGCAACATTTTTCCAGTCTTCTGTTTTCCAATTTTTGCAAGCCTGTGCGAATTGTAGCCTCCGTTTCCTGTTTCTAGCTGACAGCAGTGGCACCCAGTGTGATCATCTGCTGCTGTAGCTCATCTGCTTCAAGGTTTGACGTGCTGTGCATTCAGAGATGGTATTCTGCATACCTTGGTTGTAACGAGTGGTTATTTGAGTTACTGTTGCCTTTCTATCATCTCAAACCAGTCTGCCCATTCTCCTCTGACCTCTGACATCAACAAGGCATTTTTGTCCACACAACTGCCGCTCACTGGATGTTTTCTCTTGTTGGAACCATTCTCTGAAAACCCTAGAGATGGTTGTGCATGAGAATCCCAGTAGATCAGCTGTTTTTTAAATACTCAGACCAGCCCTTCTGGCACCAACAACCATGCCATGTTCAAAGTCACTTAAATCCCCTTTCTTCCCCATTCTAATGCTCGGTTTGAACTTCAAAAAGTCGTCTTTGCCACATCGAGTTGCTGCCATGTGATTGGCTGATTAGCAATTTGTGTTACCAAGCAATTGAACAGGTGTACATAATAAAGTAGCCGGTAAGTGTATACACTGGAGTATTAAAGCATATGCTAAGATTGCTTTTTATGTTGGCATATGCAAAGGCAGCATTTACATTAAAAAATCTTCATCAAGAATAAAATGTGTTATAACTATTTTGCAAAGTGCTGTACAAACTGTTGGCACATTATGAGTCCTGTATAAAAATAATAATTTCATAAATTAAAGTATGTAAAATACTACCCCTTTCTTGGACTAATTTTGTCTAACATAGGTGTTGAACAGGAGGCATTGGTCAATGTGTATGTTAGAGGCTTTAGTCTGAGCCAAGTGAGATTCAGTTATTTTTTCTGTGCAAATGATGGCTTGGTCTTTAATTAGTTAAAAGTAGATTTGAATGATGGAGGGGAAAAAATCAGGCAGACACCCCCATGTGACCAGGAAAAGTAATAGGAGTCTGCTGACCAAGTATTTAACACGGCTGTTTGCTAGTTTCCCCAAGAACAGTCTTATATTCAAGAGTACAGTGGTGCACTGCTGTCTGTGGGCATGAGAATCATTACTAGGTCCTGCCAAACACAGCTGGATTTACTTTCCTATCACTTATCAATGGTAACCTCTGTGACTGATAAAGCTGCTCTGTAGGGGATTACACTTATGTGGATTTTAGGTTCTCTTTTAAGGTTCATTGAACCACTGAAATTTTCAATTTTACCTGGCTTACTCACTAAACCTGAAGAGCTAATCAAAATTTACTTTACTGAAGTCAAAAATACTAAATGAAACCTAAATGATTGCTGATTTTGTGGAGTATATGGCTTCTACTGCAACTAATAATTAGGTAAACAGTAATCCATGTTGATGCCCCCTCTGCCAAGCTCAGTGGAGGGTTGGAAACTTTTGACCTGGGAGGCAAACACAACCAATTGGCCCTTTGATGACAGTTTCCTGTGGGCTAAAATATTGCAACAAAGTGTGCCATGGTACCGCACTGATTGGTGGCTATTGTGAGAGGCATCGGTTGTCTCTTAGAGATTACAGTTTATTGTAACACACATATTATTTTTACATTATATATATATATATATATATATATATACTGTGTATGTGTGTGTACAGATAGATAGATAGATAGATAGATAGATAGATAGATAGATAGATAGACAGTAGATATATATATATATATACTAAAAATGAATCAGTGTAAGGGTTTTAATTGAAAACCAGTAAGGACACTTATGTGCCCAAAAATTAAACTGACCTAAAGCTTAATTGAACAAGCTAAAGTTAGAAGATTGGCTACCATGCACAGCTGCACCAGATTCTGAGTGCTCTAGTTTTTGTAAATCCCCCCCATTACTTTTTTATTTTAATCATATTTTTATTTTTAGCAGGAATTCTGCTTTAATTACAAAAAAAAGTCAGTTTAAATTAGACTGTGCAATCAGTTCCCTGTTCTCTGCAACTTCCTTCACCCACTCACTGCCAAATGTCAAACCTTGACCATCAAATTGGCAAAGAAAAGAAAGAGATTTTGTGTGGCCGTACTTACCCTGCAGTCCTACATCTACCTTTACAATTATGCATGATGTTTGAGAAAAGTTTTGGTTTTAGATATTTTATTAATATATATTTTCTAATTTTCCTGAATATCTCTATGTGGATTTCTATGATTTGTAGTGAATTACATAATCTAGGAAGCCAAGCAATCATGGTTCATGAAATATATGATGCTCTGTAGATTAGGTAAATATGTACGCGCAGTTTCAGACATAAATAATTCACTATCACTATGTGTGACCTGGGAGGCAAACACAACCAATTGGCCCTTTGATGACAGTTTCCTGTGGGCTAAAAAATTGCAACAAAGTGTGCCATGGTACCGCACTGATTGGTGGCTATTGTGAGAGGCATCGGTTTTCTCTTAGAGATTACAGTTTATTGTAACACATATATTTACATATATATATATATCTACCGGTGTATATATATATAAAATTATACAGGATTTATATAGCATAGCGCCTACCGTTTGCTCAGCGCTTTACAATATATATATATATATATATAATATATACAGTATATACTGTGTATGTGTGTGTATATAGAGGGGATTAATTGAAAACCAGTAAGGACACTTATGTGGCCAAAAATTATACTGAATTAAATAAGTTACTAACAAAATTCTTCACCTTTAAAATAATCCTTATCATTTAACAAACTTTAATAAAAGTTTAAAGATTTTGCATTCTTCCAGCACTAACTTCCTTTGCAGATCTCTGCACTGAGTCACATGATATCTCTGCAATAAGAGCCTGTAATAAAGTGAATACTCGAAGATTGCTGGACTGGTCAAGAAACAGATATGCTGTATAAGTATGATGACCCTACAATGTCTTTGTATTGATCTATTCATTGATATTTTCAGCTTGTGGATGGCCATGATACTTCAAAAGTAAGCATCTCATTTTTAAGAAGTAAAATTGGCATTGTGTCTCAGGAGCCAGTGCTGTTTGAAGGCAGCATTGCAGACAACATCAAGTACGGTGACAACTCTCGAGAGATCTCACTGGAGGAGGTGATTGCAGCTGCCAAGAAGGCCCAATTACATGACTTTGTCCTGTCACTACCAGATGTAAGTGTGCCTAATATAAATCAAATGGATAACACAAACCTTAAAGGGGTTGTGTAAACATTAAAGGAATACCTTCTTTACCAGCTTTCTAAACTTATTTATAGACTTTAGAGGATGGTAGGTTGTACAGACACAATCCAACCACACTTTGGCCAAGCACTGATCAGATTGTTGCAGAGCACCCTGTTATTCTATACTTGGCACGCCCTGGAAGGTTATGCCAAAACAATCTACATAGTCGGGTATAAAATATATCCCATTGTGTCTACAAGTGAAGCATGGTTTGAATAAAGACTTTACACTCCTGAAAACCCTCACATATAACCAGTTAAGTGACTGTCCTCAGATGATACACAGGGATAAAACAAATCCTCCTACATACAGTGCTCAGCATAAATCAGTACACCCCTTTTGAAAAGTAAAATTATAATCAATGTCTCAATGAACACAAGAACAATTTCCAAAATTCTGACAAAACTGAGTTTTTTATCTCATTACATGAAAGTAATATTAAATATAAATTATATTACAAAACCTTTACTCAGATTAGTTGATGCAAAAATGAATATACCCCACAACAAAAACTACTACATCTAGTATTTGGTATGACCTCCATGATTTATAAGGACAGCACCAAGTCTCCTAGGCATGGAATGAACAAGTTGGTGACATATTGCAACATTTCTCTTTTCCCATTCTTCAAGAACGACCTCTTTTAGAGCCTGGATGCTGGATGGAAATTGTTGCTCAACTTGTATCTTCAGAATTCCCCATAGGTGTTTGATTGGGTTCAGATCAGGAAACATACAGTACTTGGCCACTGAATCACTTTCACCCTGTTCCTCTTCAGAAATGCAACAGTGGCCTTAGATGTGTGTTTTGGATCATTGTCATGTTGGAAAAGTGCATGATGGCCAAGGGCACGGAGTGATGGTAGAATCTTCTCTTTCAATACAGAGCTGTACATCTGTGAATTCATGATACCTTCAATGAAATGCAGCTCCCCATCACCAGCAGCACTCATGCAGCCCCACAAAAGGACACTGCCACCACCATGTTTCACTGTAGGCACCGTGCATTTTTCTTTACACACTTCACCTTTTCGATGCCATACAGTTTTCAAGCCATCAGTTCCAAAAACATTTATCTTGGTCTCATCGCTCCAGAGCACAGAGACCCAGTAGTCTTCTTTTTCAGCATGTGCCCTGACAAATCCTAGGTGGGCTGTTTTGTGCATGGGCTTTAAGAGAGACTTCCTTCGTGGACGACACCCATGCATGCCATTCCTCTGCAGTGTATGCCATATTGTGTCACGGGAAGCAATCACCCTAGTTTGGCTTTCTACTTCTTTAGCTAACTGCAGTGAACTTGCATGGTGATTTTCTTCAACCCTTCTTATCAGAAGATGCTTCTGTCGAGGTGTTAACTTTCATGGACGGCTTGGACGGCTCTATGAGATGGTTGCATTTCCTTCTTTGTTAAAGTTTTGTATCACTTTTGCTACAGTATTCTGACTGATCAGTAAAGCTTTGCTGATCTTCTAGTAGCCTTCACCTTTCTTGTGTAAAGAAATTTTCTTTCTCAGGCCTTGTGACATTTCCCTTCCATGGGGTGCCATTGCTGACAGAATGAAATGGGAAGGGGTTTTCTTTGTTAAGTTACGCCCTTTTATAATCAACTGTCTGCTGGACACCTGCTTAATGAATAATTAGAATCAACCGTAGTTGAATTCTTGTTATTAAGGATTTTGTTGTTTAAAATTTAGCTTTGCTCCTAAGACTTTAATTGGGGTGTATTCATTTTTGCAACATGGTCTTGAATGAATTTGTTAGAAAAAATACTTTTTTGTGTTTGCAAAATAACAAATCTTGTTTGCAATCAGTGGCCTACATTTGTGGGAGTATTTTGTAGTATACAAAATGTTGATTCTGAAAAAAAAGTAAATCATGTATATCCACCCAATGTTGTTTTTAACATGCACTGAAAGTGCGCATTGATACTGGATGTCTCATTTGTAGTTGTGGTTCCTGTGAACTCAGAGGGTGGCAATGAATGGAGTGCAGAGAGTGGGACCACGTGGCTTGATCAGGAGGTGACATCTTGTGTTTGGCACCAATGATTGCAGACTGTGGAGGGGGGAAGCACAGAGTGGGAACGCATGGAATAATGTAGCAGGGAGTGACATCCATTGTATGGCAGTGCTGAATGAAGACTGCAGGGGCACATAACTGGATGAGACTGAGCCTGGGTTCACATATCGCATGTGATTCGCACAGGAACTGCACCGCATTCTGTGCAATTCTGTGCTGTGCGATTTGAACCATACATTTGGTATGGCTGAAATGTGATTTTTGGTCCACACTAGAATCGGATCACACGGGTATTCACACCCATGCAATCTGATTCTGCACATCCCAGTGCATTTTGTGAACCGTTTTCAGGGTGTTGTTAAGTTAACATACACACCCGCAGCCATTCGTAAGAACGGGGTGCGATTCTGATGCGGTGCGGAATTTGCACAGATACTGCTGCGAATTCCGCACCGCATCAGCTTAATGTAGCAGGAGGTGAGGTCATAATAGCTTTATGTACAGTTATGGCATACAATAGAGCAATATGATATCACCTCCTGCTATATTCAGTCTCTTCCATCTGTGCGCCCCTCCTCTCTGCAGTCTGCATCACTGCTGCCAAACACTGGATGTCACCTCCTGATCCAGCCATGTACTCCTTCTCTCTGCTCAACCTCCAGTCTGTATTGACTGCTGCCCTACACACAGTGCTCCGTCCCTCTGCACCCCCTTCCCTGCACTCTGTTGGCACTGCTACACAGAGTCATCAAGAGATCTCACCTAGTGTTCCAGTCAAGGGCTCGCACTTTGTGCTCCCTCCCATCGTCTCGTGATCAGCGCTCCCTTAGAATCTGAAACCTCCCCATTCAGCTCCCACTCTGTGCAGTACTCTCGTCGCCTCCCTCTGAGTTCAGAGGAGCCGGAACTAAGGAGTAGGCATCGGGTATCAATACGCGCTGACAGTACTGACTGTCAACGCGCATTAAGAACACTACTGCAAACAACATTGGGCAGTATACATCCACCACAATGTTGATTTGTGGCGGAACCCCTGGGGACCTCTCGCGGAAACCTAGAGTTCCGTGGAACCCCGATTGAGAAACACTGCTCTAGCCCTTTATTTAGACATGACTGTTCCTTTCAGAATTTTATTGCTGGTCATGTTCCACCTTAGTGTTAAGAATTTTACCTAACTAACTATTGTCTTTAAATCTTAGAAATATGAAACTAATGTGGGAATCCAGGGATCCCAGCTCTCTCGTGGGCAGAAGCAGCGTATTGCAATTGCCAGGGCAATTGTCAGGGATCCTAAAATATTATTGCTGGATGAAGCTACATCAGCCTTAGACACAGAAAGTGAAAAGGTTTGTAACCTACAATATAGTCAAATAAAAATTACAGTGAGAGGATTTACGTCTGGTAGGATTTATAAATGGTTAATGTATTATTGTGTTTCTTTCATATAAAAATAAGACTTCATGTTTCAATTTACATCACACTTCATATAATGTGTCTAAATAACCAACATACTCAATGTTTAGTGTGCTATTGTAATTCTGTTTTTCCAGTCTCTACTGTTATTAATACAACTTTCCACCAACTTGCCTCCCCCAGCTTGCTTATTGGACAATGAAAGAGTATTGCTACACTTACAACGCTTTCTAACCAGGTCATCCTTCTGCTTACTCTGTTCTCAAGTCAGGATGCTCCCACTGGTAGACTAACAGCTGTACTGTCCATCCATGGACTATATCCTACTTAGTAGGATACTTCAAGGAGATGTCAGCTGTTTATTAAAGCATATGTGAACCCTTATCCTGTAGAAAAACGTATTCAATTTAAAATAGACATAAAAGGCAAAACCTTTTTTTGTGTGTGTGTGTGTGTATATGTGTGTATATATATATATATATATATATATATATATATATATATATATATATATATAGTTACATAGTTAGTCTGGCTGAAAAAAGACAAGTTGAACCATAAACAAAAAAAGTTATAATCCTATAACCACAGTTGATCCAGAGGAAGGAAAAAAACACAGCAAAGCTCGATCCAATTTGCTCTTGCAGGGAAAAAAGTTCCTTCCTGATCCCCTGAGAGGCAATCAGATATTCCCTGGATCAACTTTACCTATAAATGTTAGTATCTAGTTATATTCTGTGTATCCAAGAAAGAATCCAGGCTTTTTTTAAAGCAATCCATTGAGCTGGCCAGAACAACTCTTGAGGGAGTCTATTCCACATTTTCACAGCTCTTACTGCAAAGAAACCTTTTCATCTTTGGAGATTAAATTTATTTTCCTCCAGACGTAAAGAGTGCCCCCTTTGTGATATCTTCAAGGTAATTAACTCTACACCGAGTTAACTATATGAACCACTGATGTAGTTTATACATGTTGATCATATCCCCCCTTTAATCTCCTCTTCTCAAGAGAAAATAAATTCAGTTCCTCTAATCTTTCCTCATAGCTGAGCTCCTCCATACCTTTTACCAGTTTAGTTGCCCTTCTCTGTACTTTCTTCAGTTCCCCAATGTTCTTTTTGTGAATTGGTGCCCAAAACTAAACTGCATATTCCAGATGAGGTCTTACTAATGATTTGTACAGGGGTAATATGATATATCTCTCTCTGGAGTCTATATCTCTTTTAATGCAAGAGAAGATTTTCCTCTCTTTAAAAACCGCAGCTTGACATTGCATGCCAGTTATTAAGCTTGTGATCTACCAGAACTCCCAGATCCTTCTCCACCATTGACCCCCCCAGGTGTGCCCCCCCTAATATGTATGATGCATGCATATTCTTAGCCCCCAAGTGCAGAACCTTACATTTATCAACATTAAATCTCATTTGCCACATAGTTGCCCAATTAAACAGTGCATTGAGGTTGGCTTGTAAGCTGAAGACATCCTGTAAGGACGTTATTCCTCTGCACAGCTTGGTGTCATCTGCAAAGACTGAAATGGTATTTTTAATCCCAAACCTTATATCGTTTATAAATATATTAAAAATTAAAGGTCCCAACACTGAACCTTGGGGTACACCACTGATGACCCTAGACCATTCAGAGTATTAATAATTAACCACTACTCTCTGAATACGATCTTTTAGCCAGTTTTCTATCCATTTACATACAGATTTTTCCAAGCCTGTAGACTTTACCTTACACATTAGCCATGTGTGGGGAACTGTGTCAAACACTTTTTTCAAAATCCAAGTATACCTCGTCCACCGCCACCCCTCTGTCCAAGGTTTTGCTCAACTGTTTGTTTGACAACTTCTGTCTTTCATGCATCCATGCTGTCTGTTGCTTAAAATATTTTTCTTCCAGCAAGAACTCATCTATGTGGTCTTTTATTAAACTCTCCAGTATCTTCCCAACTATAGAAGTTAAACTAACTAAAGATTTTGACCCCTTTTTAAATATAGGCACCACATTGGCCTTACGCCAATCCAGTGGTACTATGCCAGTCATTAAAGAGTCCCTAAAAATTAGAAAAAAATGGCTTTGAAATGACAGAGCTCAATTCTTTAAGGACCCATGGGTGTATACCATCTGGTCCAGGTGCTTTATTCACCTTTATTCTGTCTAAATATTTTTGGATCATAACAATTGTGAGCCAATGTGGATCATCTGGAGCTGTGTCAATACCATGTCCATTATGGACAAGAGCTCCCCCATGCTCCTTTGTATACACAGAGCTGAAGAAGGTATTTAATAAATTTGCCTTCTCTTTGTCCCCAGTCACCCACTCTAGATTAATATGTGATCACATAATCTCTATTCTCAACTGCATAAGGGGTGTTGAGGAGGTGTGGGTGAAGAAGCAGCCATACACTGATCTTCCTAGCAAACGGCTGTACAAGGGAGGTGTGTCAGCACAAGTCTTGGCTATTGGTTTCCAGGCAGGCTGTTCTCCCAGCACAGCCAGAAAACTGACCACACTGGGATGGATGTGCTCTCATGTCTAGTGTGGTCAGTTTGAAATAAGAAAGCAAGGGGGCTGGAAGGATCACCAGATATTTCACACGAAGGGAGAAATACAAAGGGAGCAGGATACTTTTTAACACAACTGCATGGAAAAATATACACAGATCAGGAATATGAAATGTAACATATTTTTTAAATACATTCAAAGTTTATTTTTTTGTGAATACAAAATAGCATAGATAACATTGTGATTTTTATATTTATATCTATATTACCCATAATACACAATTTTTATCAAATGGATTTTGTAAAAAAGATTTTAAAAATATTCATGGATCAGTTATATAGAGGTTTCAGTAGATTATTACAACAGAAGGCAAAACTATAATTTGATTATATAAATATTCATTAATAAATAATGAAAACTATTCCTTTCCTTCAGTGCTAGATAGTATAGAGCAATAGGCTGTACAGAAAAGTGATACTACTGTCAAATATTTTTAATTTTGGTATAAGGACTTATACTATACATAACTCTCCTACGTAACACGTATTATATATTATACTATTATATAGTAGTATAGTGGTGGCTTGTTAAAGAAAGATGGTGTGTGTTTTTGGAATCCTGATTATTTTAACTAAACCTGTAGTTTACCAGACTATTCTATAGTTTTACTTTTCTTATCAGATAACAAAGAGCCTTTTGTGCATAAGAAATATCCAGAAAATATGTTTCGGTTGGATCTTAAAGAAATTATGTTGCAATCCAGTAAATGTTATTTAAAAATAGAAATTTATTTGATATTTTTGCCATGAATTGAACAAATTTATAACATGTTTTTTTTTCCTTTAGACTGTGCAGGAAGCACTTGATGAAGCTAGGCAAGGCCGGACTTGCATTGCCATTGCTCACCGCTTGACCACTATTCAAAACAGTGACATCATAGCGGTAATGTCCCAAGGCGCCATTATAGAAAAGGGGAATCATGAAGCGCTAATGTCTCGGAAAGGTGCCTATTATAAACTAGTAACTACTGGAGCACCCATAAGTTAGACATAGGCGTGTTTATGTGCAAACCCTCTGTGTTATATCAGCTTTATGTCCAACTATGTATATCCTGAGATCACTTAAATAAATGTGATATGTATCTCCTTCCACAGCTCTCCATGACCAGTTTTGATACAATGGTCCTTAGTCCTGTATTCATCTTGATATTCAATATAGTGGACACTAGCAAAAATAAATGTAATTAGTAGATTACCAGATGACATGATAAAGTCTATATAGCCTCGAAGATTTAACTTAGTCTGAACAACAACTACCCTAAGGCTACTTTCACACTGAGGAGTTTTTGAAGAGTTTCTGCGTTAAAAAAAAGCTCCTGAAAAGATCAAGAAAATGCTTCCCTATGTATATGAATATATATCTATGTATGTGTTCACACTGAGGCGTTGCGCTTGTATAAAAACTCCTGCATGATGCATCTTTGGGGCATGTTTGGTGACAAAACAAAAACGCCCCAAAAATGCCTATTCATATTAAGATCAATGGAAAATGCCTCAAAAATGTCTGACAAGCACCTCAAAAATGCCTCTGAGAATCGTTTTTGGTGCAGTTTTTAAGTCATGTATCCTTTAGAAACACTCAGAAAGTGTGCAAAAACACTTATGCTGTGTTTTTGCTGTGGATCAGTGTGAAAGTAGCCCAATATGAGTGCCTGCTTTTAAAATGCCAATACTCCCACATTGCTAAACTATATTGCCAAAAGTATTGGGACAGCCCTCCAAATCATTGGATTTAGGTGTTCCAATCACCTCCATGGCCACAGGTGTATAAAATCAAGCCCCTAGGCATACAGACTGCTGCTACAAACATTTGTGAAGGAATGGGTCGCTCTCAGTAGCTCAGTGAATTCAAATGTGGTACTGTGATAGGTTGCCACCTGTGCAATAAGTCCATCCTTGAAATTTCCTTGCTACTAAATATTCCACGGTCAACTGTTAGTGGGATTATAACAAAGTGAAAGCAACTGGGAACAACAGCAACTCAGCCACGAAGTGGTAGGCCACGTAAAATGACAGAGTGGGGTCAGCACATGCTGAAGCGCACAGTGCGCAGAAGTCACCAACTGTCTGCAGAGTCAATAGCTAAAGACCTCCAAACTTCATGTGGCTTTTTGTTTATCACAACAGTGTGTAGCAAGCTTCATGGAATGGGTTTCCATGGCCGAGCAGCTGCATCTAAGCCATACGTCACCAAGTGCAATCTGAAGGACTTCGTTCCAGTGAAGGGAACTCTTAAGGCATCGGAATACCAAGACATTTTGGACAATTTCATGCTCCCAACTTTGTGGGAACAGCTTGGGGATGGCCACTTCCTGTTCCAACATGACTGCGCACCAGTGCACAAAGCAAGGTCCATTAAAACATGGATGAGTGAGTTAAGGTTGGAGGAACAGTCCTGACCTCCACCCAATAGAAAACCTTTGGGATGAATTAGAGCAGAGACTGTGAGCCAGGCCTTCTTGAC